AGTGGAAATGGATGAACCATAAAATCTGGTTATTTTTTGAATGTACCATACTGTCCGGTCTTAAAACCTAACAAATACACAAGCAACTGATTTGTTGAATTTGCATTTTTCGCTAGGTGGCAGTGTCTACTTAAATTTACATTTCTTCAGACATTTCAGATTTTGCCCAGAAGGGGGCAGTGGCATACTCAATGCAAAAATTGAACATGATTCTAGGCACAGTTGTTTCAATCAGGATGCCCTGACTGACTCTTGTCTCTTTCGGTTTTAACAAGGAAAGCTTCACATTTCTGATGCCAGCATAACTCAACTTGAGGGTTTCTAGTCTAACGTGATGAATTTAACTCAAATTTTCCAATTAACAAAATGTGTTGGAATCAACTGTTAACACTGAAAATCAAGCGTTCAAGGTTTCTGACCCAACCTGTCCTTTAGTCTCATGTTTAACTGGTGTTGTAAAGAGCAGATTAAAGCCCTCTATTTGTACATTCTGCTCCTATAGATGAGAAACTCAACTATCATCACCTCTGCTGAGGAGGCTGTTTCCCTCTGCATTAGTTTTTTTAGCAGGAGAATTCAAAAGCTAGTCAACCAATCTCAATTCAACTTGTTGGTTGATTGGAACATGATCTAAGGTAGAACTCATTAAATGTGCAAATCCAGGAAGATTTTTTCACTAAACATTTACATACATTTCTCAAAAGATCTAATGGGTCTTGGTGGAGGGTACTTGAAGGGACTGATACTGAGTGTTTGTTAACTGCTGTGCGGAGGCAAGCACTCTACTGAGTGTCATTCTAGTCCGTCTTTGCAGTTGTTACATACAGTATATGCAATACTCGTTGGCTTCAGTGATGCCTCCCCCGGCAAACAGCACCTCATGTAAAAAAAAAAAAAATAGACCATGCTCCTTGCAACAACCATATCAGCACCTTAAAAATCAGAATAGAAGTAAATGGATAATGCATGTTTTAGATTTGATGGCGTCTCTTTGTCTACACACAGTAACACTTTGATTCCTCAGTGGCTAGCGGAGTACATGTCCCTTGGTAGTGACACCACCACACAGGACGGCAGTATGCTGTTATCCCGTGGCCCTGCTCTCTCAACAGGGACCTTTTGTCCGTGAAGGTGTCTGTGCTGGAGGCCCTGATGATGGCACCACTGAATACCTCTATTTAGAGATGAGTTGCCCCCTGACTTGAACAGTGACAGAGGTCACGCCGGCTTTTCTGAACAGCCACATCCACAGGGGCGAGCTGTAGAGCTGTGTTATCTAGCTGAGCAAATCCAGATGCAGCCAGTGATGGGATTCGCAGGCAGTTTTCTTGTAAATTAAATGAGGAAGAATCTGTTTATTTTTAGCAAAATACAAGAAGCTATGTTTAGACAATATGTCTGAGGGTGAGGGTGACAGTTTAGGCTCGGTTAATCAAGAGTCACATATATAGAGGACAGAGACTGATACTTTATCTCGTTTGTGTAGTGGCTGGTCTAAAAAGGGCTCTCTGTAAATGGGAGTATAATGCTCAGAATACTCTTCACAATGGACTTTTGTCGTGCATGCGGTGTCCTATAGCGCAGATGTACTATGAAGTCACATTGGCTTGGTCTGTTTTCCAATGTGTAGGGAGACAGGGTCTGAGATGCCTTTATCTTCTGAGTGGGTACACGAATAATAATCTATTTCCAGGATAAATGTAATACAGAACACACTGTGGTAAGTGTCTGTCTCAATTCTGGAGAACATTTTAACATTTTGATCACATAAATTCATAATTCAGATGAGGAAATTAAATATGTCTTCAAATTGCCTTTCAAATAGCCACAGAGCATTAGAATTTGACTGGAACTTATTATAAACTAACATTATGTTTACTGTGATTTTTTGTATTTGCATATACCATAAGATAAGATCAACACCAAAATGTGTTGTTGTAAAACTTTGTTTCCTTGTATGGGTTCGGAAAAACAGCAATAAGTAGTTTAACAATGGTTGGTTAAAGTAGGTTAGTGCTCTATAAGCTCTCTTACTAATTTGCTAAATAATAATGTTCGTTAAAGATGGATGATGGTTCCTAAAAGTGAAGCCAAACTATTCCCTTAACTTTAGCAGGCTGGTAATAATGAGTTAGTCTTTAGCTGTAAAACAGTTTCTGTTTATTCATGATGTTTATGATGAATATTTAGTTCTTCACTCTCAGGTTTTCCAAATGATTTCTAAGGTAGGATGTAAATGCTTTTTGATGCTTGTTTGCTCTGTTAGGAAATATTGTCCTGCCCTCCATGCATTTGTTGCCATTCTGTTGAGAATAAAGCTTGATTTACAAACTTACTTACAATCATGCTGGAGTATCTACATTACACCTCCATTAAACAATAACGGCACTATATGCTTTATAAGACGCTCTGTGATGCATTCCATGCTTGGAAAGGCTGTAGTCAGCAGCCTGTAGGTTGAGGAATGTACTTTTTAATTTTAGCCAGAGCAACAACGTTCCCATCTCCAACCATGCTTTGAAGAAACTCAAGGGTCAGTGTGAAAGTTTACAGTCCCTTCCAGCTGATCCACTGACCATGCTGACATCAAACGCTTCCACCAATTACTGTCAACAAATACACAGCTCCTGATCTGCCTGCAGGTTGGAGAGCTGGGTGTGCTCTCACATACAAATATCCTCACCGAAGTGGGACATTTAAATTAAATGATGGTACATTTGGGTTGGTGGTTAATTTTATTTTTTTCATTAGCTTTGGGTGGGAAAAAGTCAGGATGGTTGTTCAATAGTCGTGTTTTACGCAAAGGCAGAGCATAAATTGTGAGTTCTGATCTTCGCCATAGTATTTATTCGCCTCTTTAGCTGCAGATTTGGTCTCCAGAGCTTTGAGGAAGTGGATTATGTTTTTTAGTGACCCAGAGTCTCACACACTTATAAAGTACACAATGTAGCAATGGTCCATAAACCTATGACTTCCTACCATAAAAGTTACATCTTAATTTATCTTTTTAAACCTTTATTTGCTCAGGGTACTTTCACAGGACGACACACACATGACTCACATGATATCTGTTGCATGTTGAAACTTTCCTGTACTGTGTCCCTGTTTTTCTTGTCTCTCCTCTAGCTCCAGCCTGATTAAACCAATCGGTCATCAATGAGGTGCACCTGGCCAGTGGCTGGAGATTCTTTAAAAACTCCTGTGTCAGGATCAGAGGGGAGGCTTCCAGTGTGGGGGCTGCTGGGCCTCAGCATGGGGTTTTAACATTGTGTGTATTGTGTCGTTTGACGATAATAAATCCCATGGTTCTGCTGTTTTAAAGGCTCTCTGATCTTGATTGGTATCAGTGGTAGTCAGTGATTTTACATGTCGTTCGCCTCATAAGGCCATGTAATTGTGGGGCTTAACAATATCACGTTCTTTAACTTCCTGGAAACCTGCTCTAACCTTTGCCACAACTTCACCTTTCAAAACCTTAACTCTTAATCTAACCTTTGTCTGAACCTATAACTTAAAACATGTATTCACCTCTAAAGTAAAAGGTTTACATTATGTGGCCATTACGGAGAGTGTCTATACTGTCAAGCTATTTCAGCTCATTTTACTGACCTTTGCATTATCTACATCTACATATCTGGTGTGAAACTCAAGATGCAACAGTTTCTCACATGGTAACATCCTTTTTTAGATCGTTTCCTGGAATGTGAAACAGTACAAGAATTCACTTCAAACATTTGCATACTTGACACCTCAATTCACACCATTGTGTTGCCAGAAACTCCAACCCCACTGAAGCCAAGACAAAAGGGGAAATAGACTTAGATCAGTTAGGTAAAACCTTCAGAGGCTGCATTTGAATACTGTTGGTGTCACAGTGGTGCGACCGGGCTAGGCTGTTCCATTTTAAAGGCCTCAACAATGCAGCCGACAAAATGCGTCCTTCCATCCCTGAAGTGACACAAGATTGAACGGGTGCAGCCTCCTCATGCTGGGGATACAAATGGGAAATCCTCCGTAAAGATTAGTTTTCTTAGACCGAGTAGAGGGAGTTCTCCAAAGGATACGACCCCTGAATTAGTAGTTTACCTACTGTTTCATGTCAAAATGGTGACCATGAAAACGTTATTTGAGAACCAAGAATAGAGATGATTCAGCTCATGTTCATGAGAAGTTCGACTCTGTATCACTGTAGTTTGTGTTGAGCAAATAAGGCTGTTGAAAGAGATAAACGTTCTTAAGCTATGCTTCTGTGTTGGCGAGTGCACCCCTTATGAAACACAATACAGACAAGATCCTGTTTCTGTATGGGCTTTCTTGTCTTTGTCCTGGGAGAGATTTGTGAGGAACAACAGGAAGGTTTTTGTTTTGCGGTGCCCTCTTTGTCTTTTGGGGCCAACTTGGAGCACGAAACAATATCTCCACTGTTACCTGGTGGTATTGGTCTCAGCAGTCCTGCCCGGGGAAAAGTCGTACGATGTTTGGCAGGGACACTTAACATAAACAGTGTGAAATGTCACACCAAGCCAGGAGCTGCTTTCTGAAAACAAATACAAAATAGACCAACAAACTCCCACATACCCAATAATATAATATATAATAATACATTTGAGGTTCTGTGTGGTATAATGCAGAAGATTTGTATATTCAAATAGTACATTAGAGTGAAGTAAAGTGACAGCTCTATTTTACCACGGCTGTATAGAACACAAAACATACTCTTGGGTTAAGTTTTTGAATCACGCATCAAATTAACATTTTATATAAGACATGGTTTTGAGAGCACCATTATGTCTGTCATGGTTGTTTGTACATGCATCCTTTCTTTGCTGTTAAGTCGTGTAACCGATATCCCTGTGTCAACACTGGGCACTATTGTTGAGTGACCTGTTATACATAGTTACTCAATGCAAGGCGAAACATAAAAACAGCCAATCACTGACAGAATTTCAAAGGCTGGTTTGTCAAGATGTTTTTATTTACAAATGACATTCTATATACATTTAGATTTTTTCTTTTACACATATTTACATCACCCGGACACAATCATCCCCCACTACACCCACAACAATTAATATGCTTTTAAATTAAACATGAGAAACCTCCACGTGTGCCCCCTTTTTACTGGCGGGGGGCGATTAAATTAACATGTCATATGCTCGTACCAGCAATAGTTTTAGTTCACAGTGTCATTGCAAAACCCCTACCAAGTCCATGTCAAGTATATCAGCACATTCAAATGCACAGACAGCATACATGTAACAAGTTTACACATTTTATTCAAAGGTCTCCAGTAGAAGCCTTTAGGAGTAGTAGTAGTCTGGATCAAGACAAGTCACATACCAAACAAATGAGTGCAAGGACCTCTGTGATATGAAAAGTTAACAACGTGTAATGTATTTGCAAATAATGCTATGATGGTTTATGTCAGTACAAAAGGTCACCAATGATGAAATTACGAGATTTTGGACCCAAATCACAGAGGTAGGGAGAATTGTCTGAATCTCCATTCGGACAGTGATAGTTCTTCAAAATGCCAATATAAATACACAATTCTAAGTCAGTCTTTAAAAAAAAAAATCTATAATTTACTTGACTTTTAATGGAGATCATCCAAAAATAACATTGCTGCACAGAATCAGGAAAATCAAATATTGTAGTGGTCCCTCTCCACACAAAGGAGAGTTTACTGGGAAGTATACCTCAAGCACCGCATTGTACTTCCCTTTTGTATCCACCCAGGCTGTCTCACCTGGTGTTCTCGTTCAGCTATAGGATCTTCACTTTCTGTGAGCAGACCAGGTCACTGTTCACCAGATTCCACATGTGCATGAGGTCTGATGGGAGCAGTTTGTGCACCACAATCATGCTCTTAAAGAAACAGGGTTCTCGGTTCATTTTACTGTTCTTATTTTTCACCAAGCCGAACGTCTTAAAGGCATCGTGTTTTATGGGAGTGACCCGGAGTAACTCCAGACACATGCCCAAAAAGACATCGTCAATGGGGTAGAGCTCCAGGGTGTCCGCAACCGAGTAAAGCTTCCTCGCCAGGGTCCCATCCATCAGAAAACCTCCTCCACCTGCATATGGAGGGTATAGTGTCTTATTATACAGAGCCTGGGGTATGTAGTACTTGTTTTCTTTTTTACGTATGGGCTTAGCCTTGAAAATCACATCCCCCACAAACAGGTCCTTATCATTGCTAATGCTTTCCAGGTACTCGATGATGTTCTCCACGCTGACAAACACATCGTCATCCCCTTTAAAGACGTAGCGCACGCTGGGACAGTAAGTGTGGAACCACTTGAGGAAGTGAGTCTCTTTCAGTGTGAGGTTGAAGAAGCTATCCAAGAAATCCCACTGGAGGATATCTCCATAGATGTGGTTCTCATACTCCACAAGCTTCTGATGGTTCGCCCTCTCAGCCTCATTGGAGGTTTTACCAAGAAGGAAGAGGGTCTTTATCCTCTTGCCATCCACCACCTGCCCTTTGCCCCAGGTTTTTCGGATGACCTCCCTGCGGTCATGCTGGGTGGCCACTGATTTAATTACCATGAGCAAGTAAATGTCCCCTCTACACCCCTCTGGGTGGTTAAGGAGCATGGGGAAGTAACGGCAGTGTCGATAAAGCATGAACTGCTTGAAATTTCCCTCCAGGCTCCTGAACCAGTCCTGGCTGGAGAGGTTGAGGTTGGCGCTACAGTTGGAGCTGGTTATATCCCAGGTTTCAGTGATTGTGGAATCCCGTGTGGTGGCATGGGCTTTGCGCTTTGGCTGGCGTTTACCAACTTTCCAGAAGATTTTCATCCCCAGTGCGGCATCAGGCTCCGCTCCCTCAGAGGTATCCATGCGAGCCTGCCTCTGGAGTTCGAAGGGAGTCCCCATGTTGATGCTCCCCCTCTGGACAACAGTCAGCGCCACTGCAGCCAGGAAAAACATGAGGCTCACCGTCTTGTAGACCCTCCAGCGATCTCTGTTGTTGAACCTGGGAGATGATAAGGATCACAGATGTCAGTCGGGGAAGTCGGGCACAAACATCTACCCCAGACACTTCTGCATGGACGGGAAGCTAACCATTGAATTTTAGGATTCACTTCATGTTGAACTTTATGGAGGAAGTTCAAATCAACACAATATTTCCCTTAAACTAACTCAAAGTATATCTAATTTATTAAGTTGTAAGTATATTTACGAGCAAACAGCCCACACTTAACAAGGTTAATCCCTGTAGGCATTATCTGAATTCTTTCTGTTTGATGTGTTGCAAGTAAGAAAGATTTTTAAGTCCATGGTACAGTATTCTCTCTGTTAGTAGCTTCTGCATACACAAACAACTAAAAATGTAAATGTCGCCTCCTCTGAGTTGTCCTGCTTTTACCTTTATGGATAGACATGTGGTTTCTTGAGTCTGTTTTTAAACACGGTCGGATAAAGCAGCACTTTTTACTCAACCACTGTCACTTCTGGAACGAGACGTGGAATGCACACAGGAAAGTGAGTAACCCCCCCCCCCCCCCCCCCCCCCCCCCC